AGGGTCTTGCTATGTAGTACAAGTGAGCCTTAAACTTGCTTAGTACCCCAGACTGGATTCAAACTCCCAGGAACCCTCCTGCCTCAGGCTCCCAACTGCTGGGATTACAGGTGTGCACCTCCACATTCACCTTTGTTTTTTTGAGACAGGGTCTTGTTCTATAGTTCAGACCGGCCTTGAACTCACTATGTAGCCTAGGCTGGCCTGGAACTCGGCAATTCTCTTGCCTCAGCCTCCTGAATGCTGAGATTACAGGCATATACCACCACACCCAGTCTAAGCAGTGAAATTCTGACCAAAGTTGCCATAAACAAAAATAAAAAATCTGGGCTGGGGATTTAGCTCAGCAGCATAAGCACCTGCCTTGCAAGCAGGCGGTCGTGAGTTCATTCCTCGGTACAGATTAAAAAAAAAAAAAAAAAGTTGCCATAAACAGAGTGAAAGACAAACCAGAGAGTAGAAGATATTCACAACACATATGACCAGATAATTAATATATAATTAATACGTAGTATAAAACATAATATAATAATTTATCAGCCAATAAGGAAAAGGTTTTAAAAGGCAATTTTTAAAATGAACAAAAGACACGTACTTTATAAAAAAAATATTCAAGATGCAAATAAATACTACAAAAAGGTCCTCAATTTCTTTTTTTTTTTTTTTTTTTTTTTTGTCTTTTTCGTTTTTATCAGTACCAGGGATCGAACTCACGACCGCCTGCTTGCAAGGCAGGCACTTACGCCGCTGAGCTAAACCCCCAGCTCCAAGGTGCTCAATTTCACTGATCACCAGGAAGGTATAAACGACAACAACAAGGAGACATTACTATACAACCATTATCTTGACAAAAACAGTATCTAATCATCCAAGGATTGAAGAAATTGTAAAAGCAGTAAGGATTACCATTGAGGCCAGGGATACAGTTCAGCAGCATAAGCATCTGCCTGGCAAGCGCAAGGTTCTGAGTTCAATTTTTGGTACCAAAACAAAACAAAAAAGCTCTGTACATAAGGATTACTATGCAGTGCAGGTGGGAGGGCAGCCTAGCATGGTTAACTTTGTAAAAGTAGCTTAGCATGACCCAGTAATCAAGTATGCTATATATCCTATGGAAACAAATGTTTACATGCACCAGGACTGATTATAAGACCACAAGTGTCAGGAATTGTGCACATTTTCAGGATTGCCAATGTGAGAAGGGGTATCACTTAATGATGAGCACTTACACTGCATGGGTAAGGCCCTGGATTGGATCAGCATCAGCATGGTTAACTTATTTGTGATTTAATTCTGTATTATGCAGCAATGAAATGAATGACTGCAGTTACATATAAACGTGAAAGACCCTTATAAACATTATCAAGGAAAGCAATAGCAAACTGCATAAAAAGTAATTTTATGAAATTCAGAAAGAGGCACAATTAAATGTTTTTTTTAATCGGTTCCGAGGATTGAACTCACGACCGCCTGCTTGCGAGGCAGGTGCTTATGCCGCTAAGCTAAATCCCCAGCCCCAATTAAATTTCATGTACTTACATAGAAAGACTATAGAGAAAAACAAAGCAATGATTATCACAAAAGTCAGAACAGTGATTACCTCTGAAGAAAGGGGAGGGATTTCTGGAGTGCCAGCTGAGTCCAGCTCCATTTAAAGGTTCTGTCAAAGGTACAAAGACCTACCTGATATATACTCCTGTAACCCCAGCACTCAAGGGGCTGAAGCCTAAGTACCATTCCAAGTTCAAGACCAGCCTGGGCCACAAAGTGAGCCCAAGGCCAGCCTGAACCATGGAGTGAGACCAGTCTCAAAAAGAACCCTCCCCCAAAAAAGTACAAAGACCCAAAAATCATATGACTACACTTTTAAATACTGTATCTAAAAGATATCTAAAAGTTTACAAGCTATTAAGTATGTTTTATCCTATCATGACAAATGTATCTTTACAACTAACTGGAAGACCTGATTCCTGGTGAGCAGTTTTTGATTCCTTAGAGTTCCATGCAAAAAAAAAGTAGGCTAGGAATTTGGAGACCCTGGGGACTCACACACAGCACAATCTAAGATATAAGGGTTTAGGGCCTGAGTAGAACTGTCCCACAGGTCCACAGATTCCTTCACATGAGGAAAAGGGGCACAGTCAGAGATGATCAAAGCAGGGCCCCAGAGATACAGGAGCAGCACAGGATCCTTGTTGTCAGGACTAACATTTCCACAGAAGCAGGCAACACCCCAGCTTTTAACCTGGATAATAACATGGCCGCTCACTTTATACTTAACAAGTTAAACCAAAGGTTTTATGCACTTTTCTCACAAATAATGGGACAGCTACCAGGTGCTTACTGATATAATACACTGAAGACACAAATCATTTTTAAGAAATTTCTGCTGAAAACATATGCCCTAAACAAATCCAGGGACCTTCTATAAAACAAATCTAAGTTCTTTAGAAACTTATCATAAAAAGAAAAAACAGTGGTAAATCATTTTAAATGGAAAGAAATTAAATAGATGTAAAAATGAATGTCTACCTAATCTGGATTGGATTCAGGATCAGAGGAGAAAACACTATATAGGACAGTAAATTAAATTTAAGTATAAAGAACTGACATATCGATGTTAAATTGTCTGACTTCAATAAATGAATCTAGTTCATTTAAGAAAATGTCCCTTTTTTTTTTTTTTTTTTTTTGGGAGACAGACTCTCATTACATAGTGCAAACTGGCCTCGAACTCATTTACAGAGCCCAGGCTGGCCGCACACTCACAGTGCTCCTTCCGCCGCAGCCCTCTGAATGCCAGGATTACAGGCCTGAACCACCACACCCAGCTTTTCTTAGAAGAAATATCCTGAAACATTAAGACATGAAGGTGAGCCAATAATGTATATTTGTTCTCTAATTGGTTTAACAGGGGGCTTCGGAGAATGAGAGAGAATGTTTGGTAACAAAACACATGTGGCAAAAAAAGCAATAGTAAGAAGCCAAGTGTGGTGGTACACACCTGTGATCTCAGCATTCTGGGAGACAGAGCAGGAGGATTGCAAGTTCAAGGCCAGCCCAGGCAATTTAGTGAGTAAGAAAGGCCTTGTCTCAAAATTTAAAAATAAAAATGGGACATAGCTAGCACAAAGACCCCGGGTTCAATCCCCAGTAAAACCAGGAGGAAAAAAAAGAAGAAGAAGTGACAATAAGTGAATACAAAGAAAGGACATGTGCAGTAAACTATTCTTAAAGCTTTTTCTTGAAAACTATCTTCAAAATAAAAAGCTGAGGGAAACTCTAAAAGGTTAAATAAGAAAACAGTTGCAGGGCTGGAGGTTTAGCTCAGCGGCATAAGCACCTGCCTTGCAAGCAGGCAGTCGTGAGTTCGATCCCCGGTACCGATAAAAACGAAAAAGCCAAAAAAAAAAAAAAAAAAAAAAAAAAAGAAAAGAAAACAGTTGCATCAGATGAGCCAGATAAAGGAGCAAGACAAAAACTTCCTGCAGTTCATTCTTCCATCTCATTTGTGCCTTTCAAATTTTGTTCATATTCAGAAAAATTAATTTTAACTTTAGAAGAAAATCCTCAGATGTTGAAAGGGGGAAATATTAGCAACAGTAGTGATCAGACGATTTTGATCCTTAATTTATCTGACAAATCATAGCTGTCCTCAAGCGGTTCCTTGGTGAAGGCAGCCCATGGAGGAGCTGCTACACGTACACACCTGGCTAACAGTTCGGTATTTCTAAACTGAGCGCTCCTGTTCTCTGTACAGGAGAGGGGTACCTTAATGTGGGGGTCAACCTTCTACTTCAGAAGGAGCCATACATTTGCAAAATGTTTCATAGCCTTCTTGAGACAATCCTGCAGGTACAATTATTCACGTTTGCCACGAAAACAAATTCCCTCACTTTAACAGATATTGATGAGGTTGCACAAAGCCATGTAGGCAAGACAAAGAAGCATACAATATAGTCATTGCCCTCCAGAAGGCACCTTAGAGTGAAAGGGACTTGAAACAAAAATCTTGGCTATCCTACACACAGTTGTAAAAACTTAGGAAGTTATTTCGTCTTCCTGAAATTCTATTTTCTCATAGGTAGAACTGGGATGCTGTTCAATTATCTCTAAGGGATACTGAAAGATCAACAACATAGACAGGATAACAAAACAGTCAAAGGCAGCTATGTTTACGGTTACTGCAATCTAACTAAAACAACAAAACAGAAAATATGATCAAGTTGTAAAACCAATTAAGGGTACAACTGTATTAGAATCTTGATTACTCCAAGTTTCTTATTCAAGTAAATTCACTTTCCCAATACATCAAATAATACAGGTAAGTGCTTGTGTGTGTAGACCAAGAATCTCTATCACTTGGTAAACTGTGTCACTCTCTCAGTTATCAAGGAAAATATACTAGACGATAAAGTTATTTTTCTCATTAATCAAGAAGGATTTTATGTCAAGAAGGGATACACACAGCTTACACAAGATACTCTAACCTTATTTAAGACCCAGGAATACATATAAAATTAGACTAAAAGCTAATGCCAAAGGAAGTGTTTCTTTCTATGGTACAGTCCCTACAATTCTCTTACAGCAGATATAAGACTTGCTAAATTATCTATTTCAAGTATCTCCCTTCGGTTTAGTGGCAGAGAATTCCCTTTCTGTTATTTTGTATCCCATAATCTAACTCTAAGCCTGGCTCATGAGCAAGGTGACAATATTTCACACTAAAAAGTTGTCTTCAGGCATGTGTGAGAGATGGAAGATTCAATGATTACAACAAATAAAGCCATACTATGATTCGATTCACACAATTCCCTGTGCTTTTTATTCTCCATTCTCATGACGATGATGCAGATATGGGAGGCTGGCAGGGAAGGAACCTTAAATATACTTAAAAGTTAAGTAACAGTTTATTCACATTATTCATATAATGTCTCATATTCATGGCTATCTCATACAATAAAGAAACACACTATGTTATAATCAAACATGCAAAGTACCTGAAAGAGAGCCACCTGTCCGAGGATAAGCTACTTCCACGTATACTTCAAACGTAGTCTCCGGGTTTTGCCTACAAAAGAAACAGATCATGATCACTGACCAGACTATAGAATATAAGGTAGACCTCCATTAAAATCATTAGCTCCATAACTTAATAGTCATGGAACTTTGGACAAGCTACTCACTTCTGAGCCAGAACCTTCCTAATCCTCAAACTAAAAACAGCTCATCAAAATTATTGGGAAACTTTACAAAAATACAAAACAAGAAAATTCAACCAGGTGTGGTGGCACATGCCTGTAATCCCAACACTCGGGAGACTGAGGAAGGCGGATCATTGTAAAGTTGATGCCAGCCTGGGTTACAAAGTCAGTTCATGGGCAGGCTGAACTGCATAGTAGGACCCTGTCTCAAAAAATAAAAATAAAATGAAATCAAACAAAAAAATCGAAATACATCTGATTAGTCAATGTTATGACTAAACAGGTGTCATATTTCTGATCTCCATAGCTAGAGCTCAAAAGTCACAGGTTGGAATTTTGAAGAAACTCAGACAAAAGCAACAAAACACAGAACAGTCATCTCTGGCATATTCTAGGATAAAGCACTCATATGACAAAATTAACCTGCTATTTATAGGTTTTAAGTCCCAAAACAAGAGATTCAGTACCCCTATCTCACTAGACAAGACATTAATTTGAATTTAAGACAATGTTCTCACATACAGACTATTCACCTATATTGTCAATGGCAAGTGTAAGAATATTTGCTATTATATTATTTTCCTTTTTAATATCATAAATACTTATAAGTTTTTTAAAAATCACAGCACTAACAGGATGTTAATAGCTATAAATTCTAGGGGCTGGGGATTTAGCTCAGCGGCATAAGTACCTGCCCTGCAAGCAGGCAGTCGTGAGTTCGATCCCTGGTACCGATAAAAATGAAAAAAAAAGACAAAAAAAATAGCTAAAAATTCTGGGTGATAAGAATAATGTGGTTGGGGCTGGGGATTTAGCTCAGCGGCATAAGCGCCTGCCTTGCAAGCAGACAGTAATGAGTTCAATCCCTGGTACCGATAAAAAAGGAAAAAGACAAAATATATATATATATATATATATAAAATAATGTGGTTATAATATCTTTGTCTTTTTCCTATAATCTCAAACTACAATAAAAAGATATTATTTTCAGATTAAATGAAAAACCATTTAGAAAAATTTTCAAATGTCTATAACAGAATTCTATTTTAAACTTGACAATAAGCTTGCATAAAAAAAATTTAAGCTAACACTCAAGTAAAGCCTACTGAATTTTATAGTAAAGCCTACTTTTCAAAATCAATTGTGTCACTGATCTCGTTACATCTTCATCTTAACCCTGAAAGGTAGGTTGTGTGGGCTTAGGCCCACCATACAGGTAAAGAACCACAATCCCCACAGTTAATTAGAAATATAGCCAGGACTAGAGTTCACATCTCAAGGCCTTCAAATTCTATGTTTTACTGACTTTACAGTGAACTTTGATTTCCATACACTATCATATGTCTAACAATCTACAGCCCTTTACAATTCTTAATGGCAATAACTTTTGTCTTAGTAATATATAAAATACAGGTTTATCTTCTAAATTATGGCATGTTAGACTCAATAAATTATGGTAATATTTTCTCCTCTTCCTTAGGATTAAAAATTAAGTGAAAATGTGTTTTGTGAATCAGTAAGCTACTTATTTATATTATGGAAGATCATAATTTTTCATTAAACAGAAAAGTGGGCTTTATTTTCAATAAAGGTCGAGGACAAAGAACTGACTGCTCTAAAATTCCAGGCATTTAAATATACCTTGTGAAATAGTTATTTTTTAAATGTCTGATTTAGTGTCTACTAAATCAAAGAATCTTGCATTTAAAAATATTTTGAAATAAACTAAAGTTTCAAGAAGGCCTTTTAAAAATCTTAGTTTTTCTTCCTCTGAAGAGGATACACAATGATTTACAGAGTTAGCACCCTTTGGCACCAGTCATCTGTGGAAAATACTTTAGGGAACATCCTTTTATTCAAAAGATTTCAAGGCAGAGAATCTGATGAAAGAAAGGAATGTTCTAAGGCCATCTTTAGTGAATAGTAGGTAGTATAATCTGAAAAACATCAAGAGGATTCCTCCAAACCTAAAAGCATCTTTTTAAAAGAAAATTTTGTAACATGTGGAATTTCATCTCATCATTTCTTGGGCAGGGTAAGGATTTAGCTCAGCGGCATAAGTGCCTGCCTTGCAAGTACGCAGTCGTGAGTTCGATCCACAGTACAAAATATATATATATATATATATATATATATATATATATATATATATAAATGTATAAATGTATAAATTTATAAATATATAAATTTATATATATATATATATATAAATAAAATTTTCTCTGGATTAAAAAAAGGTTTTTTCTTCAACTTCATGGGTACACTTTTGATATACACAGCGTTCACATTCATCAGAGTATTTGTACCTATACGTAATACATCTTGACTCTTTTTTCCCCCATTCCCCTCCCTCCCTTCAACCCTTGTTCCCCTCTTTATTTACAAAATCTTTATTTCTATTTCTTTCCTTTTATTCCCTTTTGTTTTCCTTTTCTCCCTTCCTTCCCTTACCACTCCCCACTTTCCATGTTCCCCTTCCCATCAGAACATTTTCTTCCTACTTCCCAATATCCATCATCTATTTTGGTCCTTATTTATCCTTTCGGTTTCTCACACAAGAGAAATAACACAATATTTAAGTATGTGTACCAGATTTATCTGACCTAAAAGTATGATCCAAGGTGCACCTATTACCTAAAAATATCTCAGGTTTATCTAAGAAAACAGTTTTTAAAATGTGTTCTACAGTAGGTCCCTAGGATTTGATATAGGTTATCCAGACCTTCCATACTCTTTTTTAACTGAAACTCCGATTTTTAAATTTTATTTTTACACACTGTAAAAACGGAAATATTGAACATAGCCATGTGAATCTGCTACGAGTCAAATTTTAAAATGCACCAACCTGCATCACAAGAAGCTTTGTACAAACCTGCTGTCTCTCAAAGCAAAGAATGTCCCAACCTTATATTAATTATCTCTGCTTCTTTTCTCTTTCTCTAGCACACTTCAACCAGGCTCCTGAACCTATAGTACCACTGAAACAACTTGTCACGGTCACCAAAGACCTCCATATTGATAAAATATGATAATTGCACAGTTTTCAGCATTTGTCTTGGCTCCTCGGGAGCTTGGGACACAGCCAGTCAATTTGCCTCAGTTCTTCAAATACTTCTCTTTCCTGTCAGCACTTCACTCGGTTGGTTCTTTTCATTCCTTACCACTTCTCTTTGCTAACTCCTTTTTTTTATAAACTTTCCTGCTCTCAAATTCAGTCAAGGATCTTCCCTGTCTACACTCACTACTTAGATGATCTCATTGAATCGCATGGCTATAATTATCATGCATATGCTGACCAGCCCTGAACTCATGTTCCCTACCTGACTTCAGATTCCTTTAGCCCACTCAACATCCCCACTTCGTATCTATGAAGCATGTCAGATTTAACGTACCAAACCAGCACCTCCTGAACGCTATCAGTTATTTGATCTAACAACATTCATTACCCTTGAATCCTCTTTGCTTTATATGCCATAATCAACCAATCAGCAAATTCTATTGACTCTACCATCACCCAGAATCTATCCAGAATCTCAGTGCTTCTAAGCACCCTCAATACTACCATTCTCAGCAGACCACCATCATCTCTTCTCGGTTACTGTACTACTCTCCTGACTGGTCTCCCTGCTCCCACCCTTTGCTCCATCCCATCACACTCAATTTATCAGTCAGTAATCTTTTGGTTGTTAAACTCAGCTGATGTCAGTCTCGTGCTCAAACTTCCTCGGAGACCACACACTCAACTTCAATCAAACTTCTAGTTCTGGAGATGGATGGTATGATGGCTGCACAACAAAACCCTGATACATACACTTTAAAAAAGGATGGAAAACTCTACATGTAATTTACCATGATTTAAACAATGGGGGAGGGAAATAAATCTATACACAACCTGCCTGACCGGGCCTCTAGCTAACTGTTGGACTTCATTTCAGATCTCTCCCACTGCCCACTGAACCAGTCACACTGGCTTTTCTCTGCTTCCCAAACCCAACCCATTCCTTTACACTGATTTTTTATCGGTACTGGGGATCGAACTCACGACTGCCTGCTTGCAGGGCAGGCGCTTATCCCGCTGAGCTAAATGCCCAGCCCCTACACTGATCTTACATAGGTAATTCAAAACTCATCTATACTTGGCATTCTCAAAAAATCCTTCTCCAACAGACTATTATCTAATTGTACCTTATACCTATTCCAACTTTAGTTATAGGCAATCTTCCTTTCTAAATGGTAAGTGCTAGAGAGTTGGGATTTTGTCTCTCATCCCTAGCATTATTTTCCTGGTACCTGACCAAATAAATATCGGGTAGAAGGAATGAAGAGAGTACGAACTAACCTTCCTAAGGGATACAAGATTTCAGTAAATGACAGGTATGGTCCTAGAGCTCTGTGACTCTCAGACTTTAGCAGGCAACAGTTAAATGATAGACTTCCTACTTCTGTGAGGTAAGTTACTTCAGAAATGGCTTACCTTAGATCTAAGTATTAAAGAATTGGACAAGGCAAGCCAAAAACAGTACCAAAGCTTATCAAACACTGAGGAATGAAGGGATAAAGGAAGAACTGGCTCTGTAGAGCAAACTTGGGTCCAACAAAAGAAAGTATAAAAACAAAAATAAAAGCACACCCTGTATCCAGAACATGCAGGGTAGGCCACTGTGAAGATTCTCATGGGTCCCTCTCTTCTATGCCATCCACCTCTCCTGGGAGCCCACAAGAAGTTTCACATACAAACTCCTGGGAATTATTTGACACTGTCCTGTGATCTTGTAATTGACAGGCCCTGCTTATTTCCCCAGCCACCTTTGCCACACCCTATCTCCTACATCATAACTCCACGTCTAGAATTTTTGGAGTAGGTCCC